AAGTGAAAAGGTCTTGCTATAAACAGGCAGTTTTCAGGTTTTATTTGTGTTCCTGTTATGCAGATGCTCATGGCTGTACTTTGGGAGATGAAACAAATACATCAGAATGAATTTCACCAGTGCCCTAAGTTTTAAAATTCTGGGTATGTCTAAGGCATTCCCTTGCTAGTCCTACAGGTGGACACTGCCAGCTTTGCCTTGTAGGAGAGAGGGTGGCTGATAGACCTGAGATTACATCCCTAGATACTGTGCTTATGGTGGATGTTTTCTCCTGGCAATGGTCCACATTTCTGCATGATGAAAAAAAAACAACTTCCTCCTCTACTTTCCTGTATATACATGCAAAAATACAAGAAATGTGTAGTTCAGGACAGATATGACGCAAGTGTAGTCTGGCTCCATCTTGCACCAGTTGCTGTCTTTAGTGGGAGGAGGACCTGATCCTGCATTAGGGAGCAGAGCTGTACCAATTGCTGTGAACTTGCTCTCAGGACATTTCCATCCTGTACTGATATTAGCTAGCTGGTGATATGACTCCCAAATTGAAGATGCTGTATTTGCATTTATTAAAATAGTGAACTACTTATGCTGACCAAACCTTCTGGCTACATCCAACAAATAAGCACCTACATCACTGCCAGTGCCTGCCTGCTTCGCTCTAATGTTTCAAAGTCTCACAGATGCTTATTAAAAGCAATCGTACAGAGTTAAGAGGTAGAAAGGAATCAAGAAGAGGTCAGTGAATAGTATTAGGTCATGGTTTTGTTAGTCAGTAGACAGAATTTATTATGATATGGTATATACTAGTGATAAAAGGATGGAATGGGGTTTAATCGCTGGCAGATAATAATGATGGATTAATGGTGACCTGTGGGGACACATCTGCCCTGCCGATCTAGCTTGGGAGATCAGCACCCAGCATTGAGTGCTTGGCTTCTTACGTACACAGGCTTCTGTTGGGGCAGAGGCAAAGCCCGATGGACACTTCTAGTGTGTTGCTGTACCTGTGTGAGCCTAGCATATGCCTGCCTGTCGCCTGCGTGAAGCACTCACAGCCCTTTCCCATGGGGGCTCTCCCCTCCTTAGCAGTGGCTGCTGGGATGGTCACATGAGTCACCCGTTGGGTGAACTTTTTGTGGGAAAGTGGGTGGGTTAAGGGATGGCACAGGCATCATGAAGCGGTTTATACCTTCAGCTGTGCAAGCAAATGCTTGAAAACTGTGTATATCATGCCGCGAGAGAGCCCTGTGCTGCGCAGCGGGGGTTTCTCACTGCACTGGGAAGTGAGCAGCGGTTGGGCTCTGGAGCAGTGCAAATCAACACCGGGGGCTGCAGTCAGGTTTGGCACAATACGGTATCTCCTTTCCCCAATGTACTCTGGGTCCTCTGATAGCAGCTTTTACCTAGGATCTTGGCTTAGGTACCCACACATCTAGAACTGTGCGTTTCACCATCACAGTCAGAACTCAGTCTTCATCTTACCTTTAAAGGAAATACTCTGAAAAATATTCAGCTCCTCAGATAGAGGGTGGCCATCAGCACTGGTTACATCCTAGGTATTAACTCTAACATTGATAAAATTTGGATGATCATCTTTGGTGAAAGAGAATTCTGGCCTGCTGTGGCAAGTACCCTAATTCGTTAGTGTTTATGATGCTTCTGTTCCTCTGAAGTCTTGATTTTTGGCTGTGCGAGAAAGTGTCTGCTTTTGAACTGGTGATCTGGTATTCTGTGCTCGTCTGCCTAGGCACAGACATGGTCCCTCCTTTTGTCCCCATTCTTGTATGTTTGAGTCATACAAACATAAAACACGTAACCATTTGGCCCCATGATTTCGTAGGGACCTGTCAATATTGGTTTCCAGCCAACACAAATCTCTTTTCTTTTAAGTTTCAAAGACAACCAAATATTCATATTTGCCCTCCACCTTCATATGCCATGCCGTTTCAAGTAAGCGACAGTGCAGCATCAGAGGTGCAATTTTATCTTCCTAAATTACTTTTCTAGGGTATCTCACCATATGGGCGGCCTAATCTGTCACTCCCAGGCCAAGCTCTTTCTCTGTGGCTGGGATCCAGCCAATGTCAGGAGGAATCCTGAAGCCAGCTACATTCTAGGTGCTCTTTGCTGAAAGGAGGTTGTAGCAAGGTGGGTGTCACTCTCTTTTCCCAAGCGACGAGTGGTAGGATGAGACAAAATGGCCTCAAGTTGCACCAGGGGATGTTTAGATTGGGTATTAGGAAAAATCTCTTCACTGAAAGGGCGATCAAACATTGGAACAGGCTGCTCAGGGAAGTGGTGGAGTGACCATCCCTGGAGATATTTGAAAGATGTGTAGACGTGGTACTTAGGACGTGGTTTAGTGGTGGTTTTTGCAGTGTTAGGTTTATGAATTGATGATGTTAAAGGTCTTTCCAACCTAAATGATTTTATGATAATCTGTGTAGGTATTTGCAGCCATTTACCTTGGAGCTCTCAAATGTATAACACTTTCCCAGTGCATGAGTCAACTGATGTGTGGTTCTGCGAGTGGACAATGTGATAGGAGCTGCAGCTTATTGACTTCTGCTAGTGACAACTTTGCCTAGATCAAGGAGGTTTCCATTTTTGACATCTTGGAGACATCATGCCTGGGAGCAGAGGACAGGGGAGTGCAGTGTGCCAATGGCAGCTGTTGCCTTTGGTGGTAGGATGCTTTTAACTGTCTTGATACCAATAGAGGAGTCCAGAGATGGCACTGCGACCTCCTGCTGTGGGGAGGCAGGACCACTTCAGCCCTTACCCACTGGTGAAGGCCTGATCCAGGGGAGACTGCTTGGTTGCAGGAGCACAGCTCCTGCCCCAAGATCCGTGGAGGCTCTGTCATGGCACCCGTGTCCAGTAAGGGCAGTGATGTATCACTGAGGTGGCAAAGGGGGTGCAAACCCAGCCTGCTGGACAGGAACCCCACCATCTCTCTTTGCTCCCTGTTTGCATGAAAAATGACATATCCAGGTACGTCCTCACCTGCTGGTTTCTCATCTGGGTAACCATGGCGTGAATGCACCACCCTTATGCGCGAGCACGTCTGTCGTGGCCTCTGGTCACCCTCCAGCCTTTGTTGTGTGCACAAGTATCAAGAGCAGTGATTTTTCACATGCGCACTGTAGCCTAATATTTTAATGTGTAAACACAAATAAAATATTCATAATATAAATATAAATATTTAAATGAAAAAAGAGCTTAAGAATTTCATACAGCTTTTCAGTGCCTTGCAGAGATCACCTTAGTCTGAGGGACTCTCATCTGGATCCGGGTGGCTGGAGAAGCCTGTTAGCCCATAGGCTGCAGGACCACAGCCATGGGCCATCCTGGGGGAGGAATATGGGGGGGCAGAGGTGTTGCACAAGCCAGGACAGGCTCCCTCACGGAGCCAGCTGGAGCACTCTGTGCCCCGAGTACTGGGCACTTTGTACCTGCCTGCAAAATGATACGTTTCAGTTCAGGATTTTGGCATCTAAACAGGACGTTACCTCAGACATTGCTCAGAAAAAGTTTATTTGTTGTATTTTGAGTTGTAAAACAAGAAACAAAAGGGGGGGGCAGCATTTTGTGTAACGCCTTTTGCGACTAGCAACTAATTGAAAGCTCTTTGCTGGTATACACAAGGGATACAAAAACACCTGTGCATGCAAAGACAGCATTGCTGGCAGCGTGTGAGCAGAAGGTAACGCAGGGCTTTACCTCCAGGGACACCGATGCTGTGCAGCTTCTGATCATGGGGGCTGTGGAAACTGCGTTTGATGAAATCTTTACTGCAAAGTTAGAGGAAAGCTGGGGAAGCCTGTTGAGACAAGGTGCTTTGGTCTCTGGTGTAGGAATGAATTTCTTCAGACAAATACAGTATTTGCACAGATGCCGCCTTAATCTCAGTTACTGTGTGCAAATAGCAAATTAATTCTGGTTCTGATGGCTGCCTTGGTATATTTAACTCTTTCTCTACCAAAGCACTTGCTATTTCATCTTCTGAGAAAACATAACAAGAGGCATATCTGATTTTTTTTGAAGTATGAAAGAACTGACCAAAAAAAGTCAGGAATTGTTTACTTCCTTCAAGCCACCTGACATTTTCAGAATTTTGTTTCAATAATTTGTTGTTTTAATGTCCTTTAAAAAGGATGTGCAGAGACATACTTTGCAGAAAAATAAGTTATTCACAACTGCCTTGCACATGCTTCTGGTGTGTTAGAAAGGATGCACAGGAAAAGGATTGTAGTGAAATTTTCTGTTTTCCCCCATTGCACTTACTTATTTTCCCCTGACTTTTCTGCTTGAGAAGAATGTTAGAGATTGAGGCTTCCTACCTTTCTGTTAGACTCTTAATTAGCAGGAGCATGCAGTCCGCACAGCTGGGGCTTTGATGCCTCGCTCACTATCATTTCCCACTCAGAAGATTTCCATTCATTCCAAATTGGTACCCAGCCCAAAGCCCTGGCTTCCCCCGAGACCCTCAGCATGTCTACAGGACTCCAGTTTAGTATTCGCTGGAAGAGATGCACTGATGCTCCCTCGCTAGACCTACAGGCTGCTGGTTGGAGCCATAAGGGAACGGGAGGAAGAATTAGCCTGTGTGTTTATGTGGCTGTGCTCCAGTAAATATTTTGATGCATCTGCTGCCAGCTCTGGTCTGAGGGAATCTACCTAGCATTTAAATTTTGATGGGGAGCTGTTTTGAATAATAACAGTGCAGCCGGCTGTGAGTCAGTGCATGTGTGTTGACTTAAAAAAAAAAAAAAACCCTCAAAGCTTAACGCTTGCTGAACGCTGAGCTGCAGTGCTTTGCTTTTTCCCTCCTCCTTTCTTCTTTTCTTTCTTCTCTTGACTTCCTCTGTTTTGTTTTATTCTTGGGGGCATTTCACATAGATTTTGTTCACTGGTGGGGAGTGGGGTGGGGTGAGCAGAATAAAAAAAAACCCAGCCAAAATAAATCCTCCCCAAAAACTCACAAGTAGCTTTTTGCAATGGGTGCTGTAATGGGTACGTTCTCTTCTCTACAAACGAAACAAAGAAGACCATCAAAAGGTAAGATCTCCGGTTTTGCTTTTCCTGTCCCTTCTGTATATTTACTAGGAAAGAAATTTATATTTGGGAGGAGAAAATGAACATGTGCCACTTGCAAGTAACCCAGCAATGTTTATGTGAGGTGTAATTTGCAGAGGAGAGTGGGATGCGCGGTGGTGGAGGAAACGTGTGGGCATGAGGAAATTGCTGTGGAGGGGCTTGGGGGTGAAAAGCATCTGAAATACTGTAATCCTTCGTACAGGCGTGTATGAGGAGGAGAAACTCACTGGCTCCATATGCAGAGCACTTGCAGAAGAGACCTGTTTATTTCCAAATCCCGTGCTTTATAAACCCTTTGAGGAGGGAATAAAATGTAGATACACAGCAAATTCTTCCCAATACCTTGTGGTTTCTTTCTCAGCAAGTATTGTTAGACTCGGTGTTGCATATTCAGTAATCCAACACCAAGTGTGCTGTACTAATGATGTGTGTTTTATATAGATTGTCAAGAGGGGAAAAAAAATAGGATGTTTTCATAAAGAAGGAGAGGAGGAGAAGCTCATGTGAAATGAGAAAGTAAGCAGCAATCCTAGGGATTTTAATCCTTAAATCCATGAATATTGGCTGTGAGATGCTGATTTTTCAGGGTGTCTGGTTTGTGTAGTGTTTGCTTGAGCTTTGTTGAATTTTCTTCAGGGTTAATTCAAAAATCCCAGGGTGCTGCTAAGCAGAAAGTTGAAAGCACTGTCAGGGGCATGTCCATACCATACAGAATGACTGTTGTTTAGGAAACAGAAAGAAAGACTGTAACTTTGGCAAGTCTTTCTGTTATTTGGAAATATTCTGTGCTGGAACCTCTGCATTTAACAGTCTCTCAGTATTTCTGGGGTAGGTCTCTAGTTCCACTGGATCTGTTGTTCAGTTCATGTATATACTTTTGAATTGTAAGTTGGTATGGATTTTCTAGCAAATTAAATTAAAAATTTTCTTAGGAAATACTAATCACCAAGTAATCACTCTAAAGAGAAATGGGGAAGGGTTGTGCAGCGGATTTGGTTGTGATAAGTTTGTGAGCAAGTGTAAAATTCTGTGTTTCTGATTTCAGATTGTTAAGGTAGGGTAAAATTTTACACTAGTGTGTGTACATGGTTTATAGTTCACCTTTCTGTGTCATTATAATGCAACCATAGTGGTACAATCATCTGGCATGTGTGTATTACTTATAATGCAAGCATAACTGTATAATTATCTAAGCACTGAGTCACACCTGCAGCTGTGAGAGTCGTGTTTAGGCACTGTGAAGTACATGAGAGCTGAACATGGTGCACTGGGCATGGTGGCTGCTGTGACACCAAGCGGTGTCTTATCCACCTGCCAGAAATCTGGGAGCTGAACCTGATTTCCACTAAATCTAGATAATTTGGGGCTGAATGTTTCTGTTCTCTACTACTTTGTTGTTTTGCAATTGGCTCAACTCTCTAGTGGATGGAAGAAATTGCTTCTGTTGGAGTTCAGGAGCAGTAAAATTCCAGCATCTGGTCACACATTTGAACATTTACAGGGGGTTTCAATCTTGCTGATGCCTGCTGGCAGTGGTTGTTCAGCTATATTTATCAAAACTTGTGTTCCCCGAGTTGTGTCCTCTTGGCTCTGATGTGTTATCCATGTGGTGTTGCTGGTTAGTAGGGCACCCAGTTGGAGAGAGCAAGCTGGAACAAATACATTTGATTTTCCTGGCTATTTTCAAATCCAGTACAGAATTTCACACCTTTAGGTCACTATTTATCTGGCAGGAAAGAGCATTACAGAATAACACTGCTGATTTTGGCTGACTTCAGCCAGTTGCAGATGTTCCTTCGGACTCATGCCCAGAGGATCCCCCAGATCTCCCAGCAGGAGTGGCAGAGGCATGGTTGCCACACGTGCCTCTGGGCTGCCTAGTGTGTTTTACACTGACTGTGAGCACTTCACGTTCTCTACAACAAAACACTAATGTGCTGGGTTTGAATACAGTCTGAAATTTTTCTTTGTCTGTGAGCTCAATAGTTAGTTGAAGTCAATCACTGCTATGTGACTGATTCCTTAGTGTCGCCCACTTGTTCCCTCAGCATCTCCTCCAGCCCTTGACCATCCTGGTGGCCTTTGCTGGACCATGCTCCAGTGTATCCACATCTGTCTTGTACTGGGGACTGCAAAACTGGCTATGGCACTCTGGATATGCTTGCACAAGTGCTGACCAGAAGGGAAGGATCACTTATCCCAGTGCTGGCTGCGTGGTTGTTGATGCAGCTTGCTGTGGGGATTGACTTCTCTGCCACAGGGCACTTTGCTAATGATGCCTGGGTGTAACTGCTCCATTTGATATTGCTGCATCTGTCTTTTATTGAGTCAAGTGTATATTATCTATCTTACTATTAGATTATCATCTACTGTTATCTTATTTAATATTTATTATATTTATCTGTCTGTTTATTTGAATATTTCAGGGTTTATGTGGGACTGAAATGTTGCTGCTGAAATAAGGGATTGAAGAAATAGTTATACAGGGCTAGATCCACACCTCTGCAAATACACTGTCATCTTGGTAAATGCGTGCTCTTCCAAGTAGCTTGAAGACAATTTGTACAGCCTTTTCTAGCTAAGCAGCTCACACGTGTATCTGAAGTTATGTATCTTTGGTGTAATAAACTAAAGGCAAAATATATATTGTTTGAAGAATAGGTAAAAGAAACAGGTCATGTCCAAAGTGAGGAGTTTCCAGAGATGGGTTAACAGCAGTAAGCACGTGGTGGATCCTGGCAGAGTGGGCTCAAGTGGCCCGTGCTGAACACTGCCAGCTTCAGTGCAGGACAAGGCTCCGCTTGTGCTGCTCCCCCTCGCACCCCGCTTTGGCTGGGGCTGGGGCACTGGCAGTGGGACTGGTGGCTGGTTCGGTATTCTAGCTGTGAGCAGCAATGTTGGAGGATATATTGTAGCACTGTTCAAGAATAAAAGATTTAATTCCTTGTTTTAATGGGGAGCCTGAATCAATAAAGGCAGGAGTAGCACAGAAATCGCCTTAAAGTTGAGAGCGATGGTCCTTCAAGTCCACTCCCTTTTCTCTGGGAGTGGACAGTGTTGTGGGTTTGTAGAGGAGGAGATAATTAGTTTTGTTTGAATGTGAAAACTTAATCCCAGTATAATTGGGCTTTTTGTCTAGGCATGTTATGAGCCAGCTGCCCTGTCCTGCGAGATAAAGATTTCTACTTCTTAGATTTGCAATCCTATCAGTAAAGCTGCAGAAGCTTTCCCTGCTCACTGGAGTGTCCCTGGATAGTCTATGAGATTTGTGCCATTATGCTTTGGTTGTGGCTCAGGGCAGTTCCACGGATTATTTGTACATTTCGTTAGAAATTGTTTCCTCTGATCTCCTCAGTTGATGGCACTTTAACTTCATTCACTGTTGGGATTCTTCTTGTCTGCCTTTTCCAGCATTCCAAGGTAGCCTTGTAAAAGATAATACCTCTTTTTACCATGTTTGCTTTGCTTGTATCTCAGAGCAGCAAAGCCGGGCAGCACTCCTGGGGTCCTGGTGGAGCCTGATTGGGGGACAAGCTGACTGTGAGCCACCAATGTGGCCCTGCAGCAAAGGCAGCCAGCAGCCTCCCGGGCTGTGTTAGGCAGAGCATCTCCAGCAGGTCAAGGGAGGTGATGTTTCTCCTCTGCCCAGCACTGCTGAGACATCCACGGTGCCATGTCAGGTGCTAGGCTCCCCAGTACCGGAGAGATGGGACTTACTGGACCGAGTCCACTGAGAGGCCATGAGGAATATTAAACAATTGGAGCATCTGACATAAGGGGAGAGGCTGAGAGAGCTGGGACTGTCCAGCCTGCAGCCGAGAAGGCTCGAGGGACCTTATCAGACTGTATAAATACCTGATGGGGGAGAGCAGAGGCAATGGAGCCAGGCTCTTCTCAGTGGTGCCGAGTGACAGGACAAGGGGCAACGGGCACAACTTCAAATACAAGAAATTCCACTTAAATATAAGAAAAAAATGTTACCATGAGGGTGACTGAACATTGGAACAGGCTGCCCAGACAGACTGTGGAGTCTCCACTCTTGGAAATACTCAAAACCCAACTGGACACAGTCCTGAGCAACCTGTTGTAGTTAACCCTGCCTTGAGGAAGGGATTGGATGAGACAATCTTCCGAGGTCCCTTCCAACCTTATCCACCCTTTGGCTCTGCGGTTACTGTCACTTTAAAAACCCGAAAGATGGTAGGACTTGAGGGTACAGGGAACAGGAAGAAACATTGAGAGCTCAGTATGGACCAAATGCCAACAAAGCTGAGAGGCGCGCTTGGTCCTTTCTTATTACATTGGCAGTTAGCACTTAGATACAAGATTAAGATGGATTTGAGCATTTCAAGTTGCTTGTATATCCTCCAGCAAACATAAGCAATAAAACGATAAATGAGTTGGGCGGTGGGGGGGGGGAACACAAAACCACAACACTAAAAGGCAGAGGGCCAACATAACAGATAATGCACACACAAATGCATCTCTGGTTTCAACTAGCTGCAGAAATAGAGATTTTTTTTTTCATGTGTTTTAACAGTATACAGCCAATCGTGACCAGATTTGTGGCTAGAATCATCCACTTCCATATTCGTCATGGAAACATTTGGATTAGCAGATTGCTAAAGCAGGGGGAATTTCTTGTTTTGACTGCTTTCTATACCTCCATGGTAGTGTGCAGTGGGGATGGTTACATTGCCATTTGGGGGAAAATTCAATTAGAGTAGAAAAGGAAAATTGAGGAATAAGGGATTAAATAGAAATATATTTGCTCTTCCTTTTCTCTACCCACCCCACCCCACCCCCCCCTCCAGTGAAAGTTAAATAACTTGGATATTTCTCAATACTTGAATGGTGGTGGCCTTAGAGCTGCAAGCCCCAGCTCTTACCCTGACTGCATCAGCAGAAAGCAGCACTGCTTTCAGTTGGGAATCTGAGTCTGTTGAATGTGAGTAACCGTA